TTGTTTTAGGAGACGCACTTCCTAAATTGAGAGTTCATTCATAGGAGAGGCACCCTAGTTTGAGTCATTGAAGTTTCACCCATAGGAGACACACTTCCTAAATTGAGAGTTCATTCTTAGTAGAAGCACTTCCTAGTTTGAGTCATTGAAGTTCCACCCCTAGGAGACGCACTTCCTAGTCTGGATTTTTCGGGATATACCTTTAAGAGATGCACTTCCTAGTTTATATCATATGAGTTTTAGTCATTGAAGTTTTCACCCCTAGGAGATGCACTGCCTAGTCTTGGTCATTTAAATTCACCCCTAGGAGACGCACGTCCTAGTTGGAGTCATTGAAATTTTACCTGTTAGGAGTCGCACTTCCTAGTGGGGATCTTTCAAATTATACTTTTTAGGAGACGCACTTCCTATTTGGTTCATTTAAGTTCATTCCTATGAGACGCACTTCCTAGTCTGGGTTTTCAGGTTATATGTTTGTTTAAGGAGATACACTTCCTATTTGGTTCATTTAAGTTCATTCCTAGGAGACGCACTTCCTAGTTTGAGTCATTGATGTTCACCCCTAGGAGACATACTTCCTAGTCTGGGTAGTTCAGGTTATATCTTTGTTTTAGGAGACGCACTTCCTACATTAAAATTTTACCCCTAGGAGACGCACTTTCGGGTTTGAGTCATTGAAGTTCAACCCCTAGGAGACACACTTCCTAGTCTGGGTTTTTCAGGTTATATTTTTGTTTTAGGAGACGCACTTCCTAAATTGAGATTTCACCCCTAGAAGCCGCACTTCCTAGTTTGAGTCGTTTAAGTTCGGCACTAGGAGACCCACTTCCTATTTGGGGTTCATTCAAGTTTCATCCGTAGGAGACGCACTTTCTAATCTGGATCATTCGGGTTTTATTTTTAGCAGACGCATTTGCAAGTCAAAGTTTTTTAGTTTTACTCATAAGAGACGCACATCCTAGTCTAGTCTTTAGTTTACTATCATCATTGCATCAATAGTATAAGTGGTTTACAATTTTGCTAACAACTCACAAATCTTCCTAGTGCAAACTGGGGTAGAAAATTTTGTTGGTTTTGATTGCAGGCACCCACATGGAAAACAAGGGAACACAGAAAGTTTCAGCAATCAGGCGCCCACCTGGAGAACAAGGGAAGACAGTCCAAGTTTCAAGGGAAAACAATTCAAGTTTAAGAGGGAAGGAATACAATTCAAATGTTGGTAATCAGGCGCCCACCTGGAGAACAAAGGAAAAACAGCAATGTTCAAAGGAAGACGGCTCAAGTTCAGCAATCAGGCACCCACCTTGAAAACAAAGGGAAAACAATTCAAGTTTCAGAGGAAAGGAAGATTCAACTTTAGCAATCAGGTGCCCACCCAGAGAACAAAGGGAGAGCAGCAATGTTCAGAGGAAGACGGTTCAAGTTCAGCAATCAGGCGCCCACCCGGAGAACAAGGGAAACAGTTCAAGTTTTGGGGAAAAACAGTGCAAGTATTGGCAATCAGGCGCCCACCTGGAGAACAAGGGAAGTCATTTCAGAATTCACTTCAAGTTAGAAGTGGTAGAAGCTCGCGGCAAGAATGCGAGTCAACAGTCCGAGATGATCAACGGAAGTTAGTCACAATCAAGAATAAAAAAAAAGGAAAAGAAAGAAAGAAGTGAATCCAAATGCAGAAGTTGATGAAAGATGTGGGTTGCTCAAGACATGACAAAAGTCACAAGTATGGTATGTCCGGGTTTGATCCGAAAAGCTGAAGAAGAATAAGCTAGCACCTGCAACTAGCAAGCGTCAATGTTCAAATCCAAAGTCTGCATGAAGAACCATTCAAGACTCAAGATCAAGCTTCAGAAAACTTATAGATAGGAATCTTGTAACTCATAGTTGACAGCTTAGCTAGTCTTTTTCATTTTTTGATTTTTGATGTAACAAGCGGATCCCGGACCGGAACCTCGGCGGAACGACACCTCAATCGGCTCTCCACCTCAGTATATTCCATCATCTCACTCACTTCTGAACTACACGTGGCCTGATTCCTTTATAGCCAAGGATATGTAGGCAGCATAGATACCAGGGCTCAGTCGCATTCCCCTTTTCTCTTAGTTTTATCTCTTAAATAAGGGTCGGGTCAAAAAACCTGTCTAGTCGTTCTTTGTCCGAAAACTCTTCGCGTTTCTAGTCAAAGAGAGGCAGCTGTAGACATGTGATTTTTGATCCTCCCCAAGATTTTTCATATTTTAGCACGTAAATATTTAACTTAGGCCTAATATAGCTTTTTCAACTCCATTTTACTCTTTTACTTTATTTTATTACAAGAAAACGAAAATTACAAAAAATAGTTTCATTATTGTTTTGTAGTCATTTTTAATCTTGAAAATACCAAAATAGTTTATTTCAACGGTCAGTCTTGTTTTAATAGTTATTTTTATTTAAGTAGGATTAATTGATAAATGAGATCGTATTTTTAGTCTCGTTCGCGGGGAAAGAATAAAACTTGGGCTCGATTAACCTATTTTTTAGGCCTAATTTTTGAACCTAGCCCATTATTCCTAGGCCTATATCTTCTAACCTAAAAAAAACCCTATAAAAAAGACACAAAATAGACCCTAGACATACATAGACTAACGCCTAATATCCTAAAGGACTAAAAGATCCGCCGTTCAGCACAAAAATCCCACCCCCATCGACTCATCTTCTTCTCCAAGAAGCAGCTCTTTCCCCCTCCCATTCTAATTTCATCTTCTTCAACTGAGAATAAACACACACAATTAAAAGAGCACAAATTGAGGGGTGGGAAAAACAGAGAGAACACACGAAAAATAGAGGCTAAAGACGAGTGAGTAAGAAAGATTAAAAGCACCATTGCTGGCCAACGTTATGCGCCGGAACTGTTTGGTTTCAATTGGAAACCTTCAGAATTAAGAGTCGAGGTCGCCGTTTGAGAGTTGAGGCCGTTTGAAGTAAGTTCGTGGATCTTGTTCGAGTTTTCCGGTGAGCTTCGAAGTCATCGGAGATTGTTGTCCAAGGAGTCCATTTCAGTCGTTCGTCGAGGTACTATCATTGGTTTCCAATTCGAGTTCCATCCAGAGGTCGTCGGATTGAGTTCGTAGCAGGTGGACGAAGATTTTGGTATTTGTTTGTAATGCAATTTCGAGAGAGTTCATCATCGATGTCGTGAAAGGTATAAACGTTTCTTAAAACATCTTCCATAAGAAAAAGCTTGCGGTGAATAATTGTTGCTTTTGTTTATGATTCAACGTGTTAGGTAATTGAATGAATAGGGAGGATGCAGTTTACACTGTTAATCACTAAATATGTTCCAACTTGGACGGCCTATTGAATTTTGCTCTTATATTTCTTTATTGTCTTGTTTTATTTTATATGCACTACAGAATCAATATTATGTTAGGGATCATGTGTTGTATTCTTTCCTTTAGGGTGGAGTTGTCTGTTTAAGTTGTGATACTCGTAGCAACAAACTAATGCTTGCGTTTTGATTAGTAATGTGAAAGCAACTTAATATCATTTCTCCGATAATCTCGAAGCTTAGGAAGAATCATAAATATCGTAGCTTGCTTTAGGCGCGATTAATAATTATCATGGCTATTAAAATTCGGGGGTACATTTCACGTAGCGTGGCTTACGATATGTTTTAAATAACCTTGAATTTTCCTGAAATATTAAAAGCGGTTTTAAAGTTTAAAAATGCACATAGGCTTAAAAGTGTTTTAAAATCAGATGATTAGGCCAATAATAATAGTTGAGTGACCGTTCTAGAACCACGGAACCCGGGAATGTCTAACACCTTCTCACGGGTTAACAAAATTCCTTACCCAGATTTCTGTGTTCGCGGACCATAAATAAGAGTCAATCTTTCCTCAATTCCGGTTTTGAACCGGTGACTTGGGACACCATAAAATATCCCAAGTGTCGACTCTGAATCTTAAATAAATAATCTCGTTTCGATTGTCATTTAAATTGAAAAAAACTCCCTTATACCCTCCTGGGATAGTAGTAAAAAGGAGGTGTGACACTCCTTTTGTTATTTCTTCTTTGGACAGTTAGACAGTTTATATATCTTAGTTCATTGTTTTAGACGCTCATGACTTAGTGACACCCCAATGTTTGAGACTCATTTCCGTATTTTTCTATATTATATTTAGAATTGATTTAGTTTATGAAATATTTAAACATTGAAATATTTTATTAATTTCTTATAATCGATTTAGTAGTAATATTTTGGAAAGTAGGCTTGCCTTGTAACACGATAGGCGCCATCACGACCATGGTTAGATTTTGGGTCGTGACATCATTGGGTTATGCCGGAAAAAAGGTCATCGGGTTATGCCGGGGATGTCTTCGGTTTATGCCAGAAAGGTCCTCGGGTTATGACGAGGAAGTCATCAGATTATGCCGGAAAGGTCCTCGGGTTATACTGGGGAAGTCATCGGGTTATGACGAAAAAGGTCAACGGGTTAGGCTGGGAAAGTCATCGGGTTATGTCGAAAATCAACTAGGGAGTGGGACCCTATGCTGGAAAAGATTACCAGGTTATGCTGGCACTAGCTAGGGAGTGGGACCCTACGTTGGAAAAGAATACCAGGTTATGCTGGCATCAGCTGGGGAGTGGGACCCTATGTTAGAAAAGATTACCAGGTTATGCTGGCATCAGCTAGGGAGTGGGACCCTATATTGGAAAATATTATCAGGTTATGCTGGCATCGACTAGGGAATGGAACACAATGTTGGAAAAGACGTAGCTAGAGATTGGAGACCCTATGCTACCATGGTTTTGAATTTGTCTTCTTCTTTCTTTTTTATTTTATTTTTTTTATTTAAGAAAACGAGTAAAAATGCAGGAAAGAATTTGGAGGAGACTTCCCTTTTGGATTGATTATTGATGCAAAGTTTTTTCTAGCCCTTGCGCAGTTTCTTTTGGTTGCACCTGGTTCTTGCAAGGCTGCTTTGGATTGCACCTGTTTCATGTTTTCAAACAAAGAACAATTGTTAGTTTGAAACAGCTGTTGATTTTGTGGCCTTGATTGTTTCTATCACTTGATCTTGGCCTGGTTTCTTTGATGAAGATCTCAACTGCAACTGCATGTTCCTTGAGGACCGATTTCATTTCAGGCCCTGGAGAACCTCTGATTTTTCCAGACTTCTCCATGATGGTGGGTTGGTGGAACTCAATCTTGTCGACTTTATTTTGCCTCTGTACGCCTTACCCTTCTGACTTGTTGTTTTTCTTTTTTTTCTTTTATTTTTCTTTTCTTTTTTTCTCTTTTTTTCTCTTTTTTTTCTTCTTTTTTTTTCTTCTTTTTTTTCCCTTCTTTTTTTTAGCTTCGGGACATTGGGAAATTTTTGGCTCCTCAAACTTTGGCGCAACGGCTAGTCGCGTGGGACTTAACCTTTTCCAACCTTATTTCGGCTTCATAGGCCTTTCATTTTTGGCTTCTTTCTTCCAACTTCAATTTCAGATCATTTGGGTGCCTTGGATTTTCAAACCATTGCTAAGACGGTTAGCCACATGGGACTCAACCTTTTTAACTTTTTTTTGCCTTTGTGGGCATTTGACTTTGATTTCCTTTCTTTTCAGGAGTTTTCCAATTTCAAAACATCAGCCACCGTGGCTTGTCGAGGTTGACTTGATACCCCCGACGAGGTTGGGTACCTTTTTGCATATTAGCTTGTATCAAATGAGAACCTTGTAAATCAGTCTTACCATCATTTCTTTGTCTTGGTTTCAGAACAGAGTTAGACCAAAAGGGATTTCAAAGCAAAAAAAATGGAATGGGGAATGAGTTTAAAACAAGAAGTGTCCCTTTTGAGGAAAGCAAAGAAGGACTTATCTGGAGTACATGTGTGCTTCAATGAACATGACATGCCTTTTGGACTAGATGCTTGATCTGTGTAAACCGTCTGACTCTCAGAAATTCATTACAACTTTTGCCTCAAAATCAACAAACCTTGCCAGGACTCTGTCGATGCCGATGCTTGTGAGGATCCTCTTTTGGATTAGGGGCGCCCTTTGTGGGTTTTCACGAGTTGACCTCTTTCATTTCTCTTCTCACCATCGCCTTATAGTGCTCTTTGCGAGTTTCACTAACAAGACTCTCATTTTCAACTTCTCTGCTTACCATCGCCTTATGGTACCCGTATGAGTTTTCACCAATAAGATTATCTCATTTTATTTCTCTCATTTGATTGTATCAGATCCAAGGAACCATATCCTCCAATTTTGAACATCTTTACCAATTGATCAGAAGGACTTGAACAGGGCTTGGGGTAGAAAGAGTTTGGATGGAATTAAAACTTTAGAACCTTTCAGGTGAACCATCGCCGAACCATTGTAACTTCTGCCCCAGTTTCAACTTTTGGGGAAATTTGGATTTTTATTTTGGTGTGGCTGAACCTCAGAGAGGCTGCCTACGTATCCTTTCGGAATCAAGTCGAACGTAGTTCAGGCAACTTTGTTTGATTTCTTTTGTTTTTCTTTTCTTTTTGTTTTGTTTTCTCTTTGTTTTTCTTTTTCCTTTCCTTTCTCCTTTTTTTTTTTTAATTTTTCATTTCATTTTCTTTTTGCCCTTTTCTTCCTTTTTTTTGTATTTTCCTTTTTCTTCTCTTTTTTTTCTAATATTTTACTCATTTCATTTTCCCCAATAACAACTTCCAAGTTCCAAAGAGGGGTATTCAAAGAATGAGAGCCGGCTCAAAGGGTTGATAGTGTTCGGGTAGCGAGAATAAAAGCCTTCTTCATCCCAACCGGAGAACATTAATGTTATATAGAGGATCTAACATAGTACCTTTTGGTTGCATTTGCATTGACAGTTTTTTCAGGGATATTTCCTTCTATGTATTCCAAATACAAAGCACTATTTTGACAGTACTCTTGTTGTAATGTATGGACCTTTCCAATTTGGAACCAATTTTCCTTCAGATGTTCCGAGTCTTTGTTTTATTTCCTTAATCTTATCTTTATTGCATTCTAATTCTTGATTCATTATTTCAAAATCTGACAGCGTTTTAGGATCTGACCATGAAGTCCGCAAGCATGTCATATTATTGAAATCTGCATTTAACAGAACTAAAAAGAGAATAAGAAAATGACAAGATTAAGAAAAGAGACATTCTTGGACAATGAAATATTAATTTCATTTGATTTTTGATTATTTTTTTCAGTTTTTTTAAGATAGAAGGGTTTAAATCGGAAAGCAAGACAATAAAGTAAAACATCCGAATCACACCGTAAGATAATCCAGATGCAGAAAGGATAGCAAGACTGGCTACTAAGACTACTGTCTGATGGGGAACTTCCATGCTTGGCGACCATTTTTTGGCTTTTCTTCTGTCTCGCCAATGGCTGCAATGGCCTTGAGTGCCGGATCAAATTCCTCATCTTCACAAATCATTCTGACTATTGGCCCGATGTTGTGGCTAGGCAACAGACTGTTCATCACATCAGAAGTTTCTTCATCCCGAAAAATAATTCTTTCAGCTTCAATCAAATCTTCAATTGCGCTTTTGAGGGTCTAGCAGTCCTCTATACTGTGTCCACTACTCTAGAGTGGTATTCACATCTAACATCAGCTCGGTGCGACGGGGACTCGGGGTTTGGCCGATTCGAGGTCACTGGCTGCAAAAGATTTAGCCTGATTAGCCTTTTGAACAAGCTTGAATACGATTCACCAATAGGGGTGAACTGATTCTTCCTGAAAGGCTCTCTTGGGCGAGGATTGTATCGGGGATCATTTGATTGAGGAATATATGGGGCTTGGTATGGATGGGCACTTATGGGAGGTGGATCTCGGTTTTGTATATAATGTTGTGGCCGCATGTAAGGTTGCACGTTCATCACCGCATAGGGAGGAGGTGCCACGGCATAAGCATCATCTTGAAGGGGACAATAGTGTTGAGGGACCTCAGGAAGCATATATGATTGGCTGAATGACGTGCGGGCCCCCCTCGAGCTAGAAACCATCATGGCTCCTTCTTCACTCCCGTTTCCATTTATCAAACCCTCTGAACCATTTTGAACATCTGGTGATGTTGCTTCAAAAGCAGCATGACTCAAGATTCGACCCGTTTTTAGCCCACTTTATACCATCTCCCCAATTTTGATAACCTCAGCAAATGGCTTTCCCATAGCAGACATCATGTTCTGAAAGTAGTCCGCCTCTTGGGCCTGTAGAAAGACCGTGACCATTTCAATTTCGTCCATTGGAGGCTTTACCCTGGCAGCTCGCTCGCGCCATTTTGACAGCATATTCACGGAAGCTTTCAGCAGTTTTCTTTTTCAAATTGGACAAAGTGTTTCTGTCAGGAGCGATATCTACATTATATTGGAACTGGCGGACAAAATCTCGAGCCATATCATCCCACACATGCCAATGGGTAATTTCTTGATCCGTATACCACTCAGAAGCAATTTCGGAGAGGCTTTCCCCAAAATAGGCCATTAGCAGCTCCTCTTTTCCACCAGCACCCCTCAGCTGGTTACAGTACCGTTTCAGATGAGCGACCGGGTCTCCGTGCCCATCGTACTTTTCAAATTTTGGCATCTTGAAGCCAGCTGGCAAGTGGACATGGGGGAACATACAGAGGTCAGAGTATGAGACACTCTTTTGGCTACTTAGGCCTTGCACGTTTTTCAGGATTTGTTCCAGGCTCTTCATCTTCCGAGCCATTTCCTCTTGCTCAGGATTATTAATGACCTTTTCTTGCTCCACCGAGAGATCATATTGCGGAGGTTGAGTGAAAGAGTATGGAGTCACATATGCTATTTCTGATTGAAGCTGTGGACCCTGAAAGGTGAACATTGGAGGCTCAACATACAGCCGTGGTAAAGCTGGTTGTGCTCTGGTGCAGACTGGTGCTACAGAGAACAATATTGGAGGTGCTCTAGAAACTGGCGCCTGGGGGCGAACCACAGAAGGCATGCCAGGAACATTGAACGGCATTGGAGGGTGCCCGCATGGGATGAGCGGGTTGGGCACAGGGGCATTGGTAACCTCACCTGACTTGGGGATCAACTCAGGGAACCTAGGGATTGCACTTGGCGGTTCCCTACCATTAGACCAGGTGTCCCACATTTCCAATATGCGGAAACGCAAAATCCTATTCTCTTCAGCAGCTGCTGATTCTGGTTGTGGAATAGCCGATGCTGGGCTATCCTCAGGATCGATGATTTGTAGATGGCTTTCAGAGGCCATAGGAACCTTTCCTGTGGAACTTGTGAAGGATGGGAAGCCAGATTACCAACAAAACCAACCACCTGAACAGAACCTGGCTAACAGCACGCCCAACAACCTTCTTAGTTTTGAAACGCTTAACAGATAGGAAATCGAATGTTTGGATGCAATGCACCTAAACAGTTAAACGTTTCTACCATGTGTTTGAACGGTTGCATGTTTCATCCCGGCCTTAACTAACCTTTCAGTATGTACTTTTTTCCTTTTAATTTCTGCCTCTCTTTAATCACTCTTAATTTTTTTTTCATTTCAATTTGTTTTTGCTGCTCTTTTTCTTTCTTTTTTCTTCTTTTTTTTGCACTCTCTTTTTCTTTGTATTTTTCTTTTTGTCACTCTTTTATTCTATGTCGCTCTTTTTTTCACTTTTTCTTTCTTTTTCACTCATTCTTTTCTCTTTTGTTTATTCAAATTATTTTTCACTCAGTTAATTTTATAGCTATGATCGAATCCAATGGGGATTGCCTATGTATCATGACCCCGCATGAATCAGATCTTGCGTAGTTCGGAAGATCTTGCGTAGTTTGGGAAAAATACTTCAAAATAAAGGAAACCGTATTTTGGATTTTGATTTCTTATTGATTTTTATTTTTTATTTTTTTTTCCCGTATGAAAGACTTCAGAAAGAAGGAAATTATTTTTTGAGTTTAAAAATATTTTTTTTTTTGAATTTTCTAAGGAAATGCCTCTAAAGAAGGAATTAAAGGAAAATATTTTTGAAGTTTTTTTTAAAAAAATTGGGGCCGGAACCGATGAGGTTTGCCTACGTATCTCACATCCGGTGAGAATCAGACCCGCGTAGGTCGGTCAATTTTGACATATAAAAAAACATGATATTTGACTCACTTTTTTTTTCGAAATACATTTTCCTTTCAAAAATTTTAGCGGAGTTTCGAGACATTTTCAAATACCGGGATTTTTAGAACCGGGTAAATTCTCTATCCTACCACACTCTTTGTTTTTCTCTGGATTTTCTTTTCCTAGCCAGTCAACATGCAAGCCGAAACAAATAAATATTCATATAGCACGTAGGATGCATCAGGATGGTCTGTTATTTTGGGTACATCTGTCCTAGATGGACGCAACCCCTGTGTTGAGTCCCCAAGGTCGAATGCACGTGATGCAAATAAACGTTCCTACTAGGGATCCGGCATGAGGTTATGTTATTCTAAGTTTAAACCTGGGGTTGTGTTCTACACCTGGCTTACCCGAGCGGACAAACTCGAGTCGAGGAGGGGGCAACGTACCGGGAGCACGAAAGTCTGCCCGGCCTTGTTGCTTGCCCAACACCGTTCTATTTGGTATAACTCTAACAAAAAAGTGGGCCACGCGAACGTGAGCACCGTTTTTCGGCAGACTCAGGAGGGAGGTGTAAGAAGACATTTAAATACAGTTCAAGCAATATCAAAGCGGTAAATAAATGGCAATTAGCACATTAGGCCCACAAAATACAGTAATATTAACAATAAAGCCAAATAAAATCACATTTAACAAGCTCGAATTCTTGAACCCTGAACCAGAAGTTCTGGGTTCTTTTCCCCAACAGAGTCGCCAGAGCTGTCACACCTCCTTTTTACCACCCGAGGGGTATATGGGAGTTTTTCCAGTTAAAGTGACATTAATCGAGATGGGATTATTTTATTTGATCAGAGTCGCCACCTGGAATAATTTAATTGATGTCCCAAGTCACCGGTTTATTTTAAATCCCAAATCAAGGAAATTTCGACTTTCTTTCAAAAGTCTGCGAACCAGAAATTCTAAATAAGGAATTCTGTTAACCCGGGAGAAGTTTTAGGCATTCCCGAGTTCCGTGGTTCTAGCACGGTCGCTTAGTGATTTATACTTGGCTTAAATTGTTTAACTACTCATTTTTAGGACCTATGTGCATTTATCTTTTACCGCTTTTAATCACTTGATTTACTCGTAATTAAAGAATTGAGTTACGAGTACGTATACTCCTTTCTTTTCGCGCGTCAAAAATCATGTCACGCGAACATATCCACAATTAATAACGCTTTGTTTATTTTATTAAGAAAAATTTTGGTTGAGGTTGCGCGAACGCATCCCTCGAGTCTCTTTTTAGAATTAAATTCACAATTATGTTACGCGAACGTATACATAATCACGATGATAGTCTAACTCGAGCCTAAAGCAAACTACGAGGATTCAATTTTAATATCTAAGTTACAACGTTTGTGAGGGCCATGGACGATCTAATTATGTATGGCTCACCTCAATCCATTTCTCTTTAAAGGAATTGTATTTAACTATAGCAACTACAAATGTTAGCTCTTAATCTAATTTATGAGGGCCATGAATTGTGGGCTTTGTTTGTGTATGGCACACCTCGATTTATTTTTAGAGAACTACACTTAATTTAAGGAGGTCTAATGATATTCTTATCTTGAATTGGCTTGAGCTTAGTAGGTAGCTATAATTGTAGAAAGAGGTTTGATGTGCGTGACTGGGCCCTTGAAATTTTTTAAAGCAGCTCTGGCCTTAAGCTTAAACCAAAACTGTTCAAAAGGGAAAACTGGGCTCAAAATCGAGCCCAGAAGTTGGGCCAGGCAGGCGGTCAATGAACTCTAAAAGGGGTCTGCTAATACTAGGCCCAAATCTGCACAACATGCCTTGGGTAATAAGGCCTATATCCATGAATGCCCAGCAGGCCATTTAGATAAAACTAAATACAACAAAGATTAATATTGGACCCATAACATCAATCAAATAATGCACAAATCCTGAACTGGACTTAGGCCGGCTGCCTCACCTGGGCTACTGTCAAGCCCAAATGAATATTCAGCTTTTTCAAGTCAGATGTAACCCAAGCATTTTAACAAACCAGCAAAAATCCAAAACGAAATTTATTTTCCCATGCATTCGATTATCAGCAATTAACTGTAACGACCCGACCGGTCGTTTTGAGCCCTAGCACACCAGTCAGTAGTTCGAGGCCATGAGCAGCTTCAATTCAGGCATTACAACTTGTACGCGTGGTCAGAGTTGAATTTTGGGAAATTCGGGGTTGATTCGGAAGGAGAATTTTCATGTCGGAAGCTTTAAGTTGAAAGAATCGACTAGGATTGGATTTTTGAGTAAAGAACATCAGAATCGGGATTCGAAGGTTCCAGCAGATTCGTATGAGGATTTCGGACTTGGGCGTATGTCCGGATCAGGTTTTGGATGACCCGGGAGCATTTTGGCGCCTATTTTGGAGGTTAGCATTTTGGAAGAAATTTCATAGGCTTGGGTTGCAGTGCATTTTAGTGTTACCGACGTCCGTTTGGG